CAAACAGGAAAACATATTAAGCGGTTGAGAACAGATAATGGCATGAAATTTTGTGGAGGTGAATTTGATAGATTTTGCAAAAATTAAGGAATTGTTCGGCATCACACCGTCAGGATGACGCCTCAACAAAATGGTGTGACCAAACGTATGAATAGAACGCTTTTGGAGAGAGCACGGTGTATGATCTCCAATGCAGGGTTGACAAATGACTTTTGGGTAGAGGCGATCAATATGGCCTGTTATATTGTCAACTGCTCTCCTTATGTATCTCTTGATTTCAAAACTCCTGAGAAAGTTTGGTCAGGTACTCCTGCTGATTATTCCAATTTAAAAGTTTTTTGGTGTCCAGCATACATGCACGTGAATAAAAAATTGGAACCTAGGGCTAAAAAGTGCATTTTTCTTGGATATGCTTTTAGGGTGAAAGGATACATATTATGGTGTTCTGATCCCAAATCTCCAAAATTTGTGATCAGTAGAGATGTTACTTTTGATGAATTGTATATGTTATCTTCCAAGAAGGAGTCTTCTAGTCCTTGTACTACTGATAGTACACAGAAGCAGGTGGAGCTTGATATTGGCAGTTCTGGTCCTTCTCAGACCAAATCTTCTATTCAACAAATGCCAGTAGATGCACCTGAATCTACTGTTGAAGTAGTTCAGAAGAAGAAGAGTATTCCGTAGTTAGAGATAGAGCAAGGAGAGACATTCGACTACCACAAAGATAAACAAATTTAGTTGCATATGCTTTGTCTGTTACAGAAGAAATTGATGCAGTTGGTGAGCCTTCCACCTATTCAGAAGCAGTTTCTTGTGATGATTCTGCAAAGTGGTTGATTGCGATGAATGAAGAAATTCAATTTCTTCATCAGAATGAAACTTGGGTTCTTGTAAAGTCGCCGTCAGCTAAGAAAATTGTTGGATATAAATGGGTTTTAAAGAAAAAGGAAGGTATTCTAGGGGTTGAAGATGCAAGGTATAAAGCACGATTAGTTGCAAAGGGTTATAGTCAGGTACAAGCTATTGATTTTAATGAAATTTTTTCACCTATTGTTAAACATAGCTTTATTCGTGTTTTACTTGCTTTAATTGCCATGCATGATTTGGAGTTAGAGCAGCTTGATGTTAAGACAGCATTCTTGCATGGCGAACTTGAAGAACAAATTTATATGAAACAACCCCAGGGTTTTGAGATTGAAGGTAAGGAAGACCAAGTTTGCTTATTGAAGAAATCCTTATATGAATTGAAACAGTTTCCAAGACAATGGTATAAAAGGTTTGATTCCTTTATGTTGGGTCATGGTTATTCAAGGAGCATGTATGATAGTTGTGTTTACTTCCGGAAGTTAAATGATGGTTCTTTTATTTATTTGCTGCTTTATATTGATGACATGCTCATTGCTGCCAAGAATTTGTCAGAAATTCATACTTTAAAACTGCAGTTAAGTAGTGAATTTGAAATGAAAGATTTAGGAGCAGCTAAGAAAATTCTTGGCATGGATATCAATCGAGAATGAGGAGTAGGGAAGTTGTTCTTGACCCAGAAAAATTATCTTGAGAAAGTCTTGGAGCGTTTTGGCATGAAAGATGCTAAACCAGTATCTACTCCTCTTGCTAGCCATTTTCGGCTATCTGCTACTCAATCATCACAATCAGATGAAGAGGAAGATTATATGGCACGGGTTCCTTATTCCAGTGCAGTCGGCAGTGTTATGTATGCAATGGTTTGTACTCGTCCAGATATCTCACATGCAGTTAGTATTGTTAGCAGATATATGTCCTGCCCTGATAAAGCACATTGACAGGCTGTGAAGTGGATTCTCAGATACTTGCGAGGTACTTCAAATGCATGTTTGGAGTTTGGAAGAAATAATAACACTTTGATTGGTTTTGTAGCCTCAGACTACGCTGGGGATCTTGACAGGAGAAGATCACTTTCAAGCTATGTATTTTGCATTGACGGTTGTACCGTTAGTTGGAAAGCTACTCTACAACCTGTCGTAGCTTTGTCTACTATAGAAGCAGAATATATGGTTGTGACCGAGGCAATCAAAGAAGTCTTGTGGTTGAAGAGCTTATTTAGTGAGTTTAGTCTACATCAAGGTGTTATTGTTATTCACTGTGATAGTCAAAGTGCCATACACTTGACTAAAGATCAGATGTATCATGAGAGGACGAAACATATTGATGTGAAGTATCACTTCATTCGGGATATCATTGCTGAGGAAAAAGTCCTTATTCAGAAAATCAATACTAAGCACAATCCTGCCGATATGTTTACAAAACATCTTCCACTTTACAAGTTCAAGCAGTGCTTGGACTTGGTTGGTGTTTGTTGTTTGTGATTTAGGCCCATTGGGACTTATGTAGCGAAGGTGGAGTAGATTTGCTATTTGTCGATGTTGGGACCACGCCAAGGTGGAGATTTGTTGGATGTGGCATTTGTCCCACATCGGACAAAGCCAGAAGAAGACGGCTCATCGAGGCCTATAAATATATGGCCTTGGAGGTGAAGATAGGTGCACCACTTAAGAGAGTTATATGGGTTATTAGTTTCTTGAGTCATCTAACCCATTTGCAGTCAAATATTTTAGGCTCTCTTGTTTTGTGTTTAGGAATATTTCCTAAATCTTTTATATGTGCTTAGGAACCACTTTTCTACAGCTTTTGTATTTCTTTTTCATAGTAGAAATATTGCTCCTCCCTCGCCGTGGACGTAGGTCAATTTGACCGAACCACGTAAATCTTCTGTGTTTTTTATTTGCTTTATTATTTGTCTTTATTGGGTTGCCACAACCCTTTTATATGGTCGGTTTCACTGCCTAAATATTATATGGCTGGTGTCTACCGCCTAATCTTTATATGGTCGGTTATACCGCCTATTTTGTTCTAATTTTAGTTTGTTTACTCCTGGGCCAGTCCTAACAGTATTGGTATGCAAAATACTTTCTCCTTCACCAAACATTTTGCTATACCAAAGCCACTTACACGGGCAGCCATATCTTCGTCAAGCAAGATGTTACTAGGCTTTAGGTCACAATGTACCACAGGAGTATCGTAACCATAATGAAGATATTCCAATACACAAGCAACATCAATCATTATGTTTATTCTTTGAAACGTATCTAAAAAATGGTTGTGAGAGTACAACCACTTCTCAAGATTCCCATTGGGCATGTATTTGAGTACCAAGGCTTTAAAATCAGGGTTAGATTAGCTGTCGAGCACTTTTGTAAGATTTCGATGGCATAAACTTTTTAGTACCTCGCATTCTCTATCAAACCTTTTTAATGAACCTTCCACTAGCAAGTTGAATACCTTGAATCTTAGGGTCTGATATATAGGACCTTTTGGTAATATTGACAAACCTTTGGATCTGATACGTAATTTAATCAAACCTCAGAAGAGGTAAATGTAATTAACCAAAGAATATATGCACACTCATACATAAACGTGAATGTTTATGTGGCCGTATGTAAATCCCAAAATCCAATTGCATGATTTGCATATTTAAGGCTGAAATTTTGATTTGATTTGTAAATCCCAAATTATGATCCATAAGGAACTGTCTTTTAGTCTTTTTCGTAAGTTGTACGCCCAAAATGAAATTCACAAATAACACTCAACATTTATACGTAAAACGCAGTCTGCCAAAATAACCAGAACTCCTGGGGCACTGACGATTATACACTATACACAACTCCAAACTTAGATACTAACTTAAAACTCATAAAGTTACCTCACACTTCTACTTAGAGGTGGTAAAATGGGTGGGATGGGTGGGATTTGCTTGGGTTTGAGATGAAACCGAGTCATATGGGTTTGAGACCAAACTTACCCATATGTGTTTTGGGACTAATTTGGGCGGGATCACTTTGGATGGGTTTAGATTGATCCCGCCCAATACCCAAATCTATTTTCTACATATTTTTTTCCTTTAATTCATTTTTAATTTTTTATATAACTTTAATATTTTTTATTTATTAAATTTCAATTAGTTTTATTAAATAAACATGCAAGTGCTTTATACTCAGGATTCCTACCAAAAATTGGATTAACAAATAAAGGAAAAGATAGATATATAGCCATATTCCAACATATATCAAGATGGCCAAGGCACTTAGGGTGTTGAATATTTATACTCATCATTGTCCAAGGATGATAGGTCTAAACTGACTGAAATGCTGGAAATTCTTGTGGATAATGGCTAGGAAGACTGCTAGATTATATTCGCTGGTATGACTATAAAAATTGTTAAAGATAATTTTTGAATCTAAGACTCCGTTTGGATTAGCTATTTTTTCAAAAAATAATTTTTTTCAAATACAATGTTATAGTAATATACAATAACTCAAAAAATATCCCATCCATATTAGTATATCAAATATTTCAAAAGAATTTTATAGTAAAAATTTTTCATAGACACTGCTACAATACAATATTTCAAAAACACCCAAAAAAATAATTAATCCAAATGGAGCCCATGCTATTTGAGCCCAATGGGTACCCAAGTATTTCCCAAAATTTTTCATCAATTAATGGGTACAATTGGGATTTGTCTCATTTTAAACCCAATATCAAATTCCAGTACCCATCCCGCCCAAATCCCCATAGGCATGGGTAATCCATTGGAATTTGGGACAAATTGCCACCTCTACTTCTACTAAACACTTGCCGTCCATTTATACATGCAATAAGTTACCATAATTAAGGCGGTGCTGATTTCCTTTGGGAAATGCAACTCGAAACTAGACCAATCTAGTGAATTCTAGACTAATAGAGAGAGAGAGAGAGAGAGAGAGAGAGGGGCAGTGCGTGCTTTCTCATCACTGTCTATCAAAATAGCAAAAAAGAAAAAAAATGTTGGTATAGTTATTCTGTTTCTCTGAAACATCCATTTAGAAGAACAGAAGCATAAGCTTACGAGATATAACAGAAGCATAAGCTTAACCTACACTTAAAATATAGGAATAAAAGCAGTCATTAATACATTTTACCTTTTAAATTTTGCTCTCCAGGTATAGTTCCTCCAGCATTGTCAAGTTCCCAATTCCCATGGGTATCGGTCCACTTAAATGGTTCTCAGACAAGGCAAGAATCCGAAGCAGTGAACACCGAGACACCGTTAAAGGTATTGGACCGATCAAATTGTCGTCTGCTAGACTAAGCAATGTAAGTTTCTGATGGCGCTGACAGTTGTCGTCCGGCAGAATGCCAGATAGGCTGTTATTCGTGAAGCAAATGATTTCTAGTGAGGAAATATTGAATGCATGGAGAGGCAAAGGACCAGAAAGCTGATTATACTCAATAATCAAATTCTTCAAATTATGAAGATTCTGAAATTCTATTGGAACAGTCCCCTCAATGAAATTGAAAGACAGCCGTAGCGTCTCCAAGTTTGACATGTTAGAGATGGAAGGTGGGATGTAGCCCATAAAGCTATTGTTTGTGAGAGATAGGAATTGGAGTTTGTGTAAAAAACCAAACCAGGAGGGAAGCTCTCCGCCGAGATTGTTGATCCCAAATTCAAGGTATCTCAATCTGCACAAGTGAACTAACTCACGGGGCAATTCTCAATGGAAATTGTTAAGGGAGACCAGAAAGGACAGGTTCCCAAGTTGAGGAGGTGAGGTACCAGTAAGGGTCATCTTTGAGATATTCAAGGCAATCACTCGGTGGTGTCAAGAGCTGCAGGTGACCCCTATCCAACCATAGACGGAGGTAATGGACCAGTTTTTTGCCAAGATTTCTCGAGACTCTAAATTGATCATGCGATCTCTTAGCAGAAGAAGCGCTAATTGATCCGTTGTAACATTATTGTTGCCGGCAGCCATCATGGTTAACAAAACTAAGCTAAAATTTATCAAGAAAAGGTAGTGACTTTTGCCCATGGCCTTGCTCATTGATCAAGTTCATATTTTTTTGACCGTAACTCACATAAATTGGTGTCAGCAGCAAAATCATATATACTGAAGACGGGCGTGGAAGTCTTCATGACACAAAAACACACACATGGAGACGGAGAACAGCAATTAATGTGCTGGTCTCTAGCTATGATAACATCAATAGCAGAAAAATACCTACCAGTCAATATCAATGTTGATTTTCCTACTTATTAAATATCAAATTGTGGCAGACCGGATAGGAGCCATCGTCCAAGTTACATTCAGAAAATTTCATTTTCATCCCTTAAATGTTTTTAAATTTTCAAAATATTTTTCTTTTTTTTTGAGCTAAAATATTTGCTTCTACACGAAACTTTGCAAGATCTTTTTATTATACCATCTAGTTCATATGAAATCAAATTTTCCCTCCCAAAGTAATATGTTCTGCATCGAGTCTATGCATCAAATCGAGATAGACGCTGCTGTGACTAAATAGCATAAATGTCTATCATTCCATAGGGTCACTTTCTAGCAAAATATGTCAATTAAAATTTAATACAGCTTTCAAATTATTTGTGTACCCAAGGTGGGTAGAACATTAATTTATTATATCCTTCAATTTTGATTGATGACGTTACTTTTAACTCCTTTTGAATTTCAAGGCATTGGGAAACTAATATATCATGTTGTGGAAGAAATAAAAAAAAAATTTGGGCAATCAATTTGTTGTCCGAGCATTATAGAAGAATGATACCACTTCAACGAAAATAATTTGAAACCCTTAGAGGACGTGCAGATAATATGATTGCTCAGATTTTATAAAAAAAAAACGTAAATTAACTAGTTTATGGTATATCATGAAAAAACCAATTTTTTGTAAGCTAGATCTGCTACTATTTAAAAAGTATTTTATAAATTATTGAATTTGTCTTTCCTACACTGTTAGTATTAGATAAATAACAACTATGTAAGACTTGTGCCATGAATCTAATGGTAATAGTGTGTACACTGTCAATGTATATAAAATTTACTCTTCTTTTAACCCTTATCACTTTTTACCGGACAAATACTTGTTCTAATAAAGTGTTAGAATTGTACTTATATATATATACTCTCTGCTAAAATGCAAATCAAACATAAGGATGACTATTACATACCCATCTTAAATACAGTTTTTTCTCATTAATTTGGTTTTTGTCATTGCTTCTTAGAAAATTCAAGCATATTTTCAACACTTTCATATCTAGTTATCATTACTTTAAAAGTTTCACCCCATTGGAAAAAGCTCATTACATTTATTTCTAACCAAGTTCAAAATTACTACCAAATGATGCAAGGACAGACCTATCGCCATGCAAGACAAGTCAAGGTCTGTTTCTTGATATATTTTGCCTATCACCGCCACGGTCCTAGTTTCTTTTGTCATGTGCGGTGGAATGAAGGAGACAATGTGACGACCCCACCTCCTCCTAGGGCGTACCCCAGGGTTTAGCGGATCGCCTACCCAACTCTCATCAGGACTCACTCACACACTTCAAATAAAATAGTTTACAACCTCAAGAGTAAATGAAATAACAACTCCCAAGTTTGGAACGTACAATTACATTCATTTCTATCTCAAACATTCATACAATCCCAAACTTAGAATATACATTAATGCTTAAATTCATCTCCAAGGCTCATACATACCCAAATATATCAAAATATTCCAAAATCCAAATACATCCAACCCTAGTCGAGTACTAGCGTGAGTACAATCGCAAAACTTACAAAAACTAGACTATGCTAGCCTGTACCAGTCTCATGCCCTCGCTCGTATCTCCTGTAAGGAAAACAAATTTAATAGAATAGAGTGAGTTAAATCTCAGTGAGGTTTCAAATAGCAAGTTAACCATTAATTAAAAGTACAAGTATCAACGTAGCAAAATAGCGAGTATAACAAGTTCATAAAAGTGAGCAATGACACTTCAAATAGCAAATCTCAAAATGAACGAGTATAAAGTTTTTAAAAAGAAACAATAACCCGATAAGTAATAATCATTTCAAAGTATAAGGATACGGATGGCTCCTAGGAGCCAAGTTCCCATTGCTTCACCAGAGCTTGATCAAGTAGTAGTTGACATTCCGTCAACTTTCAAGTAAAACCACTAGTCCAGTAGAGCACCACTTAGCTACAATCTCTGTCCACCATCCAAACCCCCTACCGGGCCCAAAATTCATTATAAACACGGGTGGTAATACTCGAGTATACCGATTAGTCGAAGAGGTATCACTCCACTGGACAAAACAAGAGACCCAGGGTTCTTTACCCAATCGACCGAGCCTTTGCCGGCTCGACTCGAATAACTAGCCATAAGGTTTCTGAAATTCCAGAAAGTGCACACATCATACACAAGTATATCAAGTCAATTGCAACAATAAACAAGTATATATCACATTAGGGCAAGTGCGACAAAGTACACCCTTGCCCGACCAAACCAGTCAAATATCAAGTATTTAAATCAAGTATCATATTCAATCATGTACTTGAAAGCACTCACCAAAGATTTAGTACGTGTCAAACTCACGTTCAGGTACAACTCTTTGATTGGAGTCCCAATCTGCGATAAAATATCATTGAAGAGTTTAAAATCCACTAGGGTTCGAAACATAGGAGTTTCGCTTCAAGAAAATCAAGTAAATGAAACTTGTTTAAGTAGTAGTCATATGACTTCTCAAACTCTTGAAAATTCATGCTCGCTCTTTTAGTTTCGATAAAGAAGTGATTCATACTTTGGAAGTTACACTTGGTATGAAAAATCGAGAAAATCGTATGTTTAAGGGTCGCTACTTTTGCTTTTTAAAGGGTACGAGTGTTGGCCAAATTCAGCTCGTATACCTCTTACTAACGACACTCGAATACAATAACACGCGAAATTCGTTTCAACCTTGAGTCATCGCTCGCCTAACCCTTGAGTGAAAATTTGGACAGCATGCCCTTTGTATTTCGCTATTTTCCAGCCATTTATGGTTTCATTTTTTCCTCAATTCAGCCCAAATTCAACACATAAGTAAACTTAACACAATAGCTCTTCAACTAGGCTCAAAATCATCCAATTACAAATCAATTCTAACAATGAAACCACCAAGACCAAAGCTGGAAACTAGTTTTAAAGACGAATGGCTAAGTAACAGGTTTGACATCTTCTGCTATTTTGATCACAACTGAAGCTATGCTTATCGGATTGAGCTAAATTTTATGGTGTTTTGAACCTAAGACAGAGACCTAAGTTTTCTATCAAGACATCAACACCTAGTTCTTGCATTTTCAAGGTCAAAAATCGAAATCTCAGAAAAAACAGAAAACCGTCGGTTAAACTGGGCATTTGGGCAGTTAGGGGTATTTTAGTCATTTCATGAGGTACAGTGATCCGATTGACCTGAAATTTTATAGGTAGATAGTTAACGAAATTTCCTATAACTTCATGTTTTGAACAAGAACTGATTTGGCCTTTATCATGGACGAATATGCAGTGTAAAAACAGGGCAGATTCACTATCAATGCTGGAAATTCACTTCTACTCTAAACTTTCATATCCTAGCTCAATACTATCAAGTACTATATTATCAAAACTATCAATTACTAACTCAATACCATCAATTACTAGGTAAACAACCATAATCAAGGCTGAAAAATGTAAACCCTAGCTAAACATTCGACTATATCATCCAAAACTAAATACTTAACCTAGTAAACCAAGAACATAAGTTTCTATCCCAATTTTAACGATATTAAGTAAGAGAAAAGGAAAGGCAATCATAATACCTTCCAAAAGCTGTTTGTAAGTGAAAACTAAACCCCTCTCTTCCAAAAATTTCACCACACAAAGCTTTCCAAACACCAAAAGAGAAGTTTAATCGGTTTAGTTTGGTTGATTTCACTCAAACAAGGATGGATTCAAGGTTGGAAATGGAAAGCTTTCTTCCTCTCTTTTCTCTCCTAAACTCACGGCCAAGACCAGCAAGAAATGAAGAAAAATCAGCCAAGAGGAAAGATAAGAAGATAAGAAATTGGTTTGGTCAAAGTTTACTAAATTTCCAACAAGTGTCACACTTTGATTTGAGGTCAAATTTTTTCTTTTCTCTCTTGTTTTTGAGTCCAAAATTTCGGCTGGTATAAGAAGATATTTAGGACTGATTTTTCTCAATTAATAACAAGGAGATTAAGGTAATAAAGTAGTGTTCAAGTGGTGTATTTAATCGGTAGCAAACGGTACACGTCGGTTCAAGCCGATTTTCCTTAACTCGCCCATACTAGTGTTTTAACTTATGATGCACTAACTTATTATTATCATTTCTAATCACACACTTTCTCTTATCTACAACTCACTCTTAACCACTGAATTTAGTACACACTCCTCACCAAGTGATCACACTACCAAAATGCACCAAAAACACACCAAAAACCCTAGTATGCACAAAAAATCCTAACTTATGTCATTCCTTTAGAAAAATCATAACTTGAATTATAAATATCAAAAACTTATACAACTTGGCATGTTAAAAACTAG